AATAAGGAGAAAACAAATATGAACTTCAAAAATATACAAAAGAGAGAAAGACAGAAGCCTAAGGAAAACACATAATAGAGGGCGAGAAACTTACCCCTGGGTGCTTCATGACTGCCTTCTCTAGACAATCTTTCCTCAGCATCCCTGCATCAAAAATTGACATCACTAACCACCAAGAAGCATTCAACAAAAAACATATTCGCATCAATTTTATGAAAAATATTTAATAACTAAGCAGCATACCAGGTGAATCTTATCACAATGCTTTTTCTTTTGCAAAAGTAAAGAAAGTAGAATAAAATGTGTCTATCGTATCCTAACCAACAATGGTCATGATGGGCTGATATTGGTGCATAAACCAACTTTATAAACGAATGTAGCTGAAGGAAACTTAAGATGTGTTACCAAAATCTTAATTCAAAAGTGTTAATACCTCAAGACATCGGCAATCGTTTCATCATCAGGTGAAACTTCGTGTGCTTTTCTCAAGTCTGAGACGGCATCCTAATAATTTCAGAAAAGGTATTCCCAAATTTGAAAATGTACCAGAAATGCAATTCAACAACCATTGACAAAATCCATATGCACATAGAACTCACTTCTAATTGGCTTATTTCTTTATATGCTTGACCTCTTCGGTAAAGAGCTTTAACATTCTTTGCATCATAAGACAAAACCTGTAAATAAAAACATAATTTTAGCCAAAAAGAAGATAAAAGATCACAAAGAATGAAATGCTAATTAGAGAACTATTAATCTATTTGTTTACTGATTAGCAGCCTAGTCTATAGGTATTAAATAATTTTACGACATTATCTTGGAATGGGGTGTGAGGATTTGACTTATGACAAAAGCTATAGTAGCATACGAATGATAATAAAAGGAGAAGTATACCTCAGAGCCTTCTTTTATACACTCATCATATTGCCTTGTTTTCAAATAACATGACATAAGATTAAGAGAGCATGCCAGTAGAAGTGTTTTCCCTTTCGCAGATGGAAGTCCTTTCAGGTTTTTCTTTGCCTGAGATTGTGAAGGCAATGAGGGTTTTAATTAATATGAGAAATAAAATACAATAAATTAAAATTTAAAGTAAACAGAAAGAATTGTTCCCATAATTGGAAAAAGACAAAAGATACTATTACTGCCTTACAAGCAAATATTTCTCAGAGGCATTATTGAACTTCCCTTGCTTATGAAGCTCATTCCCCTGAAAAAAATTAAATACACATTTTTCCAAGTCAGGTGCCAGTCAATAAGCATTAACAGTAAGCAAAACAAAAAAAAGGGATCAGGGAAGACCATAATTAAAATTTAGGTTTTGATTAAGACATGCGTATTTGAAAAGAATTCGATAGTGAAAAGCTCTTCTTAAGACTCAATGCAGGAAGATAAACAATTATTATGCCTGCAGTTCTCGGAAACAGATGGGGAGAGTCATAATTTATTACACAACAACAATATTTAGCAGAAGTTATTTAGATATACAAGAAGGAAAGTCATGCAGTCGAATTTGCACCACAACAAGATGCATGTGGTACATCTCTAGTAATGAATTGCCTCCACAAATGAACCAAATATTAAAGATTAACACAATTGATCAGGTACTTTTTTACACACAACTTGTATTCATATTTTGACTTACATGTTTAAGTTATGCAAACTCAGTGGTTTAGGAGCAGCTCTTAGTATGATAGTATCTCACCAAAACTTTTACAATGTGTTCAATTCTTTAAAACTCGAGTATTGCAGCTCTTTTATGAGCATCAAGGCTCCTATTCTGAACTGATCACATTCTTTTAAGATTTTTGACTAAAAACTTATTCTACTGTTGGGCATATATTTTGGGTGTCAAAACTCACTTGATTCTTCAACATCTCAACTGCACTTAGTTCATAACTGATCTGAGCATCAGCACGGGCACGCAATGCAGCTATCTCTTCAGGTGATGCATTGGCCATTTTCTCACCAATCTCCGCCATCTCCTCAGGACGAGTGTGCTTCAACTGCTCTGCAGCATGTCTCAAGTCTTCCGGCCTCATGTTCTTCATGCTCTCCGAGGCCATTCTCATCAAATCAGGATTAGACATCATCTGAATGCCATTGAATCCACAATAAAAACAACCCTTAATGTTATATATGCAAAAAAGGCATGTACTCAAGTACAAACTGATTACTTATATTCAGGTCCAATGACTGTATCGGTTCAGCTAAAATTCATTATTAATTACTACATCTAACAAATCATGCACTAAATTAATTTTATTCGGAAATCCCAAATCTTGACGTATGAAATACATATATATCAGGTTCATATCAGATGGAGCATCATATAAAAGTACAAATTTACCAATAAGAAAGCAATTCAACATCGTATAGATATTCCAATGGAATTAGAAATAAAATCAAAACTGAAACCCAACATAAATTCCCAAAAGCTAAAATACCCAGATTGAGAAAGACATCAAATTTACTAAATCCTACATGGGAATTGATAATTCTGATAAAAATATTGCAAAATTAGAATAAAAAAATATATAAAATTGGACCTGTTGTTGAATCTTCGATAACTCATCGGATGACATACGACCGATCTGTTCCTGAGCGATTCTTAACAACTCAGGATCCATCATTCCGTTAAACATCCTTGTCGATTTTTGTTCCAGGAAAAAAATTACCAGATCAAATGTAATAAAACAAATATAAGAAAGAAAAGAAGAAAAAGAAAGGGAATTGATTAAAAGAAAGGGGATGCTGGGTTTATAAAGGGATGGGTCGCCCACCAAACGAGAACAGAGCAATGAATAGACGGATTTTACTTGGGTAAACTACACTATTTCTCTCTAAACTTTACTATCTTTCTTATTTCATCCATATTACTTTCAATTTTTTCAATTCAACCACTGAACTTTATATATTAAACTCTTTTAATTCACTCTTAATTTTCTAATCGCGTGATGACATTGCATTTATGTTCACATTGGTGTTTCTAACACAACTATTCCATTACACCCCCTTGTAGAGTTTTTAACCCACCGGCCACAGGTTAACTACCTGTAAATGATTTTGAAGTTCCCAATTTCATACGATTCATAAGGACTAAATTATAATTTTGTTATGTATAACTTCATGCGTTAAGTCCATCTCTTCGTCTTCTCTTTCTCCTTTTTTTTTTCCTTCTTTGATTAATTTTTTATAATAAAATTGATGGGTTTGATGCTTTGACGTGAGTTAAGAGTGACTGTTTAGCTGTGTCGTAAAAGATGTGTTTGAAGAAGGAGAAGAAAAGAAATTACGAGAAACAAGATATGGAAATTAGAAGTTTGAAAACAAGTGAAAAAAGTAATTTAAAATGCCACGTCATCCTAATGTTAGAGAGAAAACAGTTTAATGACTAAAAAAAATCGATCTATAAAGTGATTTATGTCCGGTGTCTCAAGGTGTCTTATTGATTTTGGTCAATGGTTGTCGGACTTGTATTTCTTCGCGTTGTTGCTTTTACTTGGTTGTGGTTAGGGGTGGGAATAGATCAGGTCAGTCCAGATTTTAATAGGTATGAGTCTGACTTACGATGATTTTTGTATGCCTGAACTTGACCTGTAACCTGTCAAAAGCTTTTATTTTGGCTCGGCCTGGCCTGTTTAAAAGCCTGATCTGTTTAAAAGCCTGTTTCACAATAAACATTTTTATTATTTCCAGTTTAGCCACTAATTTTAAAATAAAGTCCCTCTTAAGTCACTCCAACTTAGCGCATTTTACAAAGTAGTCGCTTTAAATAGGTCGGCCTATCAGGCTTATAAGACTTTTTAATAATAAGCCTAAACATAACCTATTTAATATAATAAGCTTTTAAAAAAATCCGAGCTTAACATTTTTATTAAATAGATCAAGTTTTATATAAGTCAGGTCGTAGGCCTCTATAGGCCGGCCTGGCCCATTCTCACCCCTAGTTGTGGTGTACTTTTTTTTTCATATAAGTTTAAAGAGGTTTTTTTAACGAGACGTGCAACTTATGTTTTGATATTTGTCGTTTAAATCTTTGATAAAATCTTATTTGTCGAGAAAAAAAATTTAACTCATATTGGTGCGTATTTTTATTATTTTTAATTTTAATCATATTTAAAATTTAAAATAAAAATGTAATAATTTAATTAATTTTTTTTAACAATGACAACGGCAGGGGTAAAAAGACTATCAAAATGCAAATTTCAAGTCCGAGAGGTCATCCATTGGTATTTCTAAACCTATTGAATCATGGTCTTGCAGACCATCCTCCTCAAAGTTTAGCCATGAACTCAGATCTTGGGGACCTCCTATCTCATTCGAAACACCCAATTCTTCCATCGGATCCAGCTCGGTTAGTTGCAAATTCACGAAATCAACAGGCTCGTCTGCTTCTTTAGATGAATCCGGACGAATGTTACTCACTCCTCTTTCGACCATCTTGGTAGTATTAGCCAAAGGAGGTAGTGAAGGATCGGAAAGCCTGCCATTGAACCCATGCCCCGAATTACCCTTCTGCTTGGGATTTGATTTTGTTCTCCGGTCACCCTTGGCACCATACAGTGATGCCCGGCCAGCCCCAGATATCGAACTCGTATTTCTTAAATTATCTCTGCTCTGCTCCCTCTCTCTTTCACTTCTATTTCCTCTTAGTCCTCCGGTGCTGCCGTCAAGAACGGGTGTTACCCTAGAAGAAACACTTCCAACAACATCATCAATCAATACTTCCTTCCTTCTACCTTTGTTCAACATAGTTCCGTACTTGGACACGGCATGCTCCGACGAGTGAACAGCTGGAGGAGCGTCTGGCGAATCATACCTTTCATAAGTACTACAAACAGCACCTGAGGCAGAAGAGAGATTAACATAAATTTTCCCACCCTTCCAAAAATAATGCTCTCAATGACCAAGTAAATTCCAAAATTCATAAAAGCTTGAATGCATATTATAGCGCTATGTTTCTTGGTGTCTTCACTATTTTCTTGAGTATCCGAGACATTCAAACTTGAGTTTTGGTACACACGAATGAAGTTACAAAATATTGACATAGACATGTTGGACGAACACGACATACTTGAGTTGAAGTAACATGAAATTTAGTTTCGCATGTACCTGAGCCCCTGGCTTCTGCTTGATGGTTGGATGTTTCATTGCAAGTGTTACTAGCAGTTCCAGAGCCAATACATTCAACAGATTTTGCTTCGTTGCTGCTTGTCTGTACGGAAAACATGACATCTTGCAATGCAGGTTCGCTAAAGCAACTGTTGCCTGTCTCTTCAAATTTTTGGCATCTACCAAGCGTTCGCTTGATGAAAGCTAATGCAACTTGTTTTGAAACCTTACGAACTGCGCTTTTCGATGAATTACCCCCACGACAAGCCTGCATAAATCGTTTGTAGTAAACAAATTAAGCCTAAATGGTTTTAGTTATTAAGTATAAACAGTAATTGCACCCGGAATCTGAGAATTACCAAACGTTTCTTGTTAGCTATTTGTATTAGTTGGTCCATTGCCGCACGCTCGATGTTCCTGCAGATTAAACCACATTATTCTAGTTGAAGCACCATTTCATAAGGCTACTAACAACACTCGAAGACAACTGTCTATCTCACCTTCTGTCTACTTCTCTCCCACTCTGAATGGCTTTATCAATCTTCCCCAACTTTCTCTTCTTTTTCTTGATCTACAAATCAGTAAAAACGAAGTGTTCAAATCTGCCGAAATGCAATTTAAAAGCAAAAGGCAGTTAACAGGTTTTAAGTTTTTACATCAAACAATGAAATTTCTTTTTAGCAAAAATATGAAACTATATATATATAAAACAAGGCTAATTTAAAAAATAAGCTCAAACAATCCAAGTTGCAGATGCTTTTGAAACAAGTTACGAACAGAAACCTGTTGATACAGATGTTCACTAAGTTCAACAACATTTGGATTTATTGCTTCCTCTCCCTCTGTCAAATCAGGCTGCAAAAAATGAAAAAGAAAATCATACGAGTGAAGTACAAAGACATTTGACGTCAAATAGACAGAAGTGTGAAAAAGGACTCACCAAAGTCTCTGGATAAAGACCAATACTCTGTAGCTCCAGCAAAAGCTTGTCCTCCATAGACATAAACTGGTACCGTCCATCTGACGAAGACACAACAGAAATACTCATTTCCTTGGGTTGAACCTGACCCAGGTCAGTTGAACATATTTCACTCACAGGACCCATATCTGAATGTGAAAATTCATCCTCTCCCAACCACCTTTCACTACTATGTAACGAATTAGACAAGCTGGAGTTCCTAAATGTGTTAGATGCTACGCTTGCATCATAAGAGAGTCTGTCTAAGAGAGAGTTCTTCTGACACTGAAAATCTGCATTCGACTCAACTTCGGACTCCATCCTGTCCCTATCTTTAGGTTCAACATCCATATGGTTACAAGAACCACAATGAGAATCATCACTTGCATAATGAAGGGACATATTCTTAGCTTCAACGTGGTTGTAAATTTCTTCACTTTCATCTTCTTCTATCAAAGCAGAAAGAACTCTTTGGCATAAAGGAGTAACCTTGTCAAACTGTTTTAGATCCAATCCTCCAGTTGCGGTGTTAGTTTTGGCAATTTCTTCAACAGAACTAGGTGCATCTTTTGGTGTCACGCTACCCTGAGAAATGAAAGGAGTTTGTATCAATATTTGTCAACAAAGTTTTAGCTTGATTTCCAGATATCCCTTTGACAGTTTTTAGATCACTTATAAAGTTGTTTGAACTTGGCAGGTGATTAAAGCCAATCCAAAGATCTGGTTTAGGGAGAAATTCATAAGATGATGAGCCTACCAAAACGATATATTGATCTCCAAACATCTGAGACAAACTCTCATCAAGCCCTTCTGCCAAATTTAGCTGTTCCAACATCAAAACAATAGCCAAGGAAACTGTGATTAACAAAATCCCAAATTGTCAATGCATCAAAAGTCTGATAGTAACCCTACGGTACCTGTTGTCTAAGGAATGATGAGTCTTCAGAGCTGACAGAATTGAAAATTGATCCCATTTTCTTCCAAAAAGGACCAGAAAAAGCAAGACCTATCAAACCAAGTAACAGTTAAGACTATATGCCACAACAAAAGCTCAGTTCTCAAAATGCAATTTTCTTTTATTTATTTTTCTCTTTTGGATGGGGCAATGACTGGAGAGAGAGACATACTAGTGGCAAATCGAGCAGAAGTGGCAGCTGCAAATAGTTCATCATGATCATCATCAGATTCACCTGAACATGCCATCCCAAACACATCTTTAGTTCACAAAAATTCAAAGGTATATCGACACAGAAAGTGTGAATCTAAAACTAATTCCCACTTTGACAATTACATAAACAAAAAGACACACTCCATTAAAAGAAACAATAAACCCGTACAAGCACACAACTATTACCTGTTCACAGCTAAACGTTTGGTCACAGAGACGTGGATAAGAATCACATCATTCATGAACAGCATTAAGATTGGAAATAACATGCAAAAATGATTGAAGTGACATTTTTAGAGCAATCATAGTAATACGATAGACTTGATACTCTAAATTTTCAACATATATGAAGACGAAACTTGAAAATCTCAAGGATCTAGTAAATACCTGTGCAATCTGAAGAGACATTATTCTGTATCAATCCGACACGAGTTGTGGCCTTGCGGTCTTTCAGCTTTTTGGAAGGTGGACGCCCTGTCTTACTGAACCAAAGAAAAACAATTCATTCATCAGATCTCCTCAAGACAAATAAACAACCTAATACCAAAAGCTAGCTAGAAATATTTAAGAACCTTCTATTTTTATCAGAAGCAGATCTCGCACTTTGTATTGGTTTGGTTGTCGTAATACTCTCCAACTTCTCCCTCATTGGAGGAATGCCTGGTTTTGTAAAGGATGCCGCATTAACTCCACTCCTTCCTTGTATTCGGACTCTATCTCCAATTTCATTAGTAGACATTCTGTTCTTCCTTGTGGGCAATAAGAAAGATCCAGCTTTTTGAGATGTAGGTAAAGTAACCTCACTACAATCAATTCCTTTCTCTTTTGATTTGTTATCTCCAGCCCCTGTTTCTTCACTCTCAGAAAACCCAAATGGAGAAGAAACATTCTCAGGTTCTCTCTTAATTCTGGGAGTAGCATTATCTACACTGCAGCCAAGCAGTGATCCACCAGTTCCAATAGATGCCCTAGCACCGAAATCAGGAGTTGTGAAGCCTTGATTTGAAATCTGAACTTCAGCATTAGAGGGTGACACTAAATTTGTTCTCCTTGTACGTGAGTTTTTATGTGGTCTCTGACCACCCCACTGAGACATGGCCTGTGAAGATGAACCTGTATACATCAAACGTTTTTGATTGCTCCCAACACCTAACGGTTGGATCTTATTTAGATTTAGCTGTTCCCAACCCTGCAAAGCTCCAGATGAGAGGTGAACTTTAGAAGACGAGTCTAACACCATGATGGAACCAGTTCGTGGTGCCCTAGAAACCTTCGCTTTTAGCATTGTACTTGGGCCAATTGCCTGATTGTCATCCTGGAGAGTTGCCCTGATGAATACAGCCATTAAAAGAATCAATAGTCAAGGAGAAGAAACCACAAAAAATTATATCATACATGAAAAATTAAATGTAAACTTTGATGGTTGTTAACTATGTATGATTTCTGCATATACACCACAGACTGCTAGAAGCTTAGAACTCAACCAGTGAAGCACATACTTATTATTTGCTTTTACTACAACCCTCTGCTCCAACATAGCTGCACGATCGCGAGGAATAGAGGTACTCTCCGATTCATTCCTTAGCACTGTATTGGCATCTGAACCAGCCACTTCAAAAGAACAGTCAGATTTTCTAATTCCACCAACTCCAAGGGAAGATTTTGATCTGTAGGCATAAAAAATGAATAACACAATATTAAGAAAAAACTTCTAGAGAATATGGTTCGAAAAACGGCTGAAAAATAACACAATCACATGATTTATAAACAAAAAGCCTAAACGTGACGAAACAATCTAGTTCAGCAACAAGGCCTTAATATACAGAAGCAAGCTTCCTATATATCAGTTAGAAAACAGTAATATCATATCAAGCATTCAAGAATGCAATTCCGAAAAAAGCAGTTATACAGTATGAGTTGAAAACTAATATACCAACTGCCCAGCAAAATGAGGCGGCATTCTTTCTTAAATCATCAACTAGGATACAAGTTCAGTCCTAGACAATTACCTGAAACCCTGTCTATCACATGATCGCAACTTTGATTCAGAACTCAGTTTTGCTTGCATTACTCGTTTTATATCTCAATCACCACCAGCAACTCTATTTCCCACAGCTGCAACAGATCGTTTCCTTTTCATCTTTGTCTCCCATCCTTCACCTGGCAATCTGCGGATCTTTTCTGCCATTCGAGCAGAACCACCATTAACATCTGAAAGCACATCACCATTTTTTTCTGTTGTCCCCGGCTGCCATGGATTCACAGCAGTTCTATTATCAACCTGTATCATGAAAGCAGAAAAGGAGACAAAACAAGAAAGTAAATAAAATTGATGAAGCATAAGCTAAATAATAAGATAAAAAGGAAGGGTGTCGAAAAGCTACGTTTTAAGTTTCAGGCCCATTTTGCTTTCTTCCTTTTATTTATGCATAAAATAGCACATCCAATTATCATTAAACAAAATGAACAAAGTCGTCAGAAACAGCATTCGATACATAACTGAACAGTGATAAACTTATCTTTCTATGCAAATCACATGGAAATGCACATATTTTATCTTCAAACAATGCACATAAAAACCTAGACTGGTATTCCAGCAATACAAGTGAAATACAAACCCTTAAATCAGCCACTGATGAGCGAACACGCTTGTTCAGCCCCATAGTCTTTGGCCTATCCTCCAATCTTTGAGTCATTAAGTCATGACCATTTCTGTGAATCTGGCATCCCATTTTTGTAATATTTACTCCACTAGTTCTATCACTCGAAATATCACTCCGTTGTCGCTTCTTTGAGCTTAAAGCTTCTTTATACCTATCGAGTTTAGAAATTGACTCTCGGAATCTTTTGACTCTATCCCTGTTAGAAAGACAATGCAGATTCAATAACAAAAAACTGTTCACATGACTTACGAGTAACAGGCATCATAATCGAGATAAAATACACATGGAGTACATGAACAGAAAGAAAACTGTGACAAGAATCATTTGACTTGCAGGAAAGCTTTATATTCTCTATCCAAGACTGGATATATCTACATTGCATGCAAAGATAATAAATTGCATATACCACCATACAATAGCATTGCAGGCATTGACTGTTATTTGCCTGTTATGTTTCCAGGGGCAATTCCTACCATCGCCTAAATAACTTTAAAGGTTCCCCTGTCACCACAATTACATTGAGAAGTCACTTCAGTAACCATAAAGGTTACCATATTCCATCGAATATAGAACATTCCAAATTTTAGCATTATAGAGCGAGTGGAATAATGTAGAAAGACTATACCTGGCCTTCCTGGTGGTATCTTGAATGCTTTCCTTAAAGTTCTTAAGCTCCTCTGTCGCCACTGGAGGGCAAGGTTTAGGGTGTGAAACTCCAAAAGAATGATCATCTGATGTACTGCTTCGAAGAGGAACACCCAACACCCGGCTTAATTCTCCAGACCGAGTATATTTCTGGTTGCCTAATGAAATTGGCTCCAAAGGCAGACACTGAGGCAATGGTGGCATATCTGATGACAATCCTGCATTCCCTCTGCTTAAATTATTCCCAGAACTGAACATTTTTTTTTCTCTGTGCGACTTAGAACTCCCAAACCTGCAAACATGAACAGAAGACTATTACTTGCAAAACCAAGTAACTTGCTTTTCTTCCACTAATAATCTATCCCCTAACAAACTGTTCAGTTCTAGGTTTATAATTTTAAGGAATAAAAATTAAATGTACTGTTTTCTAAGAACAAATAACACAATTGCTTTTTTACAGAGCAATCATGTTGAACATAGCATTGCATTGCATTTTACTCCTTTTTGCTTATTAGCGGGTTTTCTAATTAAAAAAAAGACCGATAAAACAGAATCTTAGTAAATTGTATTAATTAATTATTTTCTTGCATTTAACTACTACTTCCCTTGCTTCTGCTACTTGTTACAAGTCCTAAAGCAGTAAAATTTAAGTCATGGATCAAAATCCCCAATTATGTCCAACGAAAAGATAAATAAATAAATTTATAATCATAAGGAAATTCCTGAAAGTTCAATAAAAAAATATTTCTACCAATTTTTTAAAAGGGCGAAAATTCAAAAACTAAGCACTTACACTTCTCTTCCTTCACTTTCCCTTCTTATCAAACTAGAAATAAAACATTTAAATAAATATAAAAAGAAAAAAAGGGGGGAAATTTTGAAAATTTGAGTGCTGGGATTATGAATGAAAACTCTAAACTTGAGAGAGTGGAATGTAGGAAAGAAAGGCCGAAATTGAATTAAAATTAAGAAAAAATAAGATGAAATTAGAGCGTTTAAGGATTCAATTACCTGAGAATCAAACAATTCAAGAAGCAAACCACTGGCAAGAAAGTTGTTTAGCAGAACCAGATGCCTGTAAAGTCCTCTCTTGAGTTGGGGGTATCAAACAAAAGTTCCAAGTCTCAGAATAGTGATGGAAAGAAGAGCAGACTTTCCTCTGGTGACGGGTTAAATAAAACGGTGACACCTGTCCGTGTTTCTAGTTATGTGAAACAAAGAGAATACAGAAGAGCTGATGGTAGAAAGAGAATTATTCCTGAAGCCGCTGGTGTTCACATTCAGCAGGAGAATATTTCTGGCAGTGCTCAAGCACTAGATTTCCCCTTTGCATCTTCTGACCCTAGGAAAAACGATAACAGTGTAGTTCATGCTGATAGTAGTTTACGAGAAACTACTATCAGGGGGAACGTTGGTAGAAGTTTTGATTGAAAGGAGTGCTCAGGAGTCACTGCTCGAGCTACTGTTACTGACAGTCTGGTTATTGAAAAAGTTTCTGCTGGCCAAGATCATAGCGTCAATGTAGTGCAGCCTGGAAGCATGAAGCCTTCTTCAGGTTCCACTGTTAGCTCTACCAAATCTCTTTCAATTAGGGTATTTGACAAGAAAGAAGGGGATGATATGACTCCAATTTGTTTGGAAGCTTGTCCCCGGGAACATGCTGTGAATGACATTGTTGGTGTGGGAAATGCATCTATGAAGAAAGAAACAGAAATCGAGTGTACTAGAGGGGATCAAACTCTGTGGTCGGACCGTATCTCAGGAAAAGTTTATGTTTTAGCTGGAAATGCAAACTTCTGGGCTGTTGGGTGTGAAGATGGGTGTCTACAGGTAAAGAACAAGCACTCTATTCTAGCCAGGCAGAATTTTTGTTTCTTTATCCTCTTAATAAGTGTTCCGGACAATAGACAATTAATAGTACAATGAGATTTCATAAATTGTCTGACAAATGTACTTTAGTCCTTTTTTTCTTATGTTTTTGAAGGTTTATACAAAGTGTGGGAGACGTGCTTTACCGACCATGAGTCTCATTGACATGAGTTATATCAGTCAAGTTATCAAAATCTGGCTTTCCTCTCTTTGTTTTGGCGACTCGGCATGCGTTTCTCTTTGACATGAGTCTCATGTGTTGGCTGAGGGTTGCTGATGACTGCTTCCCTACTTCTAATTTCGCTAGTTCTTGGAATTTGGGTTGAACTCAGACTGGTGAGCTGGCTGTGCTGCAAGTGGATGTCAGGAAATATTTGGCCCGAAAGCCAGGCTGGAGCTGGTTTGTTGCCACACTGTTTTTCCCTAAAATATGAAGTTGTCAGATTTGATATCGAGTATCTGTTTGACATCTAATCTCTGCCGGTGGCATGAATTTCAATTATATTCATCGACGCAATACCTGCTAAAGTGATAATTCCAAAGAATTCCTGGTTTTCAATTATTTTAAGAATTTTAACTTTGTTGTTCCTAGAATTTCACAAGTGATTATTTGTCTCAACAGGAAGCTCAGTTGGCATCTTCTCTGTCTCTGAAATCTCCCATCGAATATCGCCAAAACCTTCTTTCCTACATATGCTTTCTAGCAAGGTAGGCATTTCCCCCCTACCCCCTACCAAGAGCATTTACGAGTGTTTATAGCAGGAAAAGAAAAACGTGTGTTGCTCCCTTGGTATTGCGTTATGCTCTTTTCGTTACAACTTGAGGAGCGAAGCTTGTATTCAGTGCATCGTTATATATTTTCTCTCTTGGTTATCGGGACGTTAACATAAAAATAAGCCATTGACAAATTATACACGCTCTTGTGTTTGTAGAGAAGCAGATGAGTCTCGATTGCGAGAAGTCTGTGAAAGTTTTCTCGGGCCACCGACTGGAATGGCTTCAGATGCCAATAATCCTGCTTGGGATGCTTATGTACTCGTAAGTCTTTTGCCCTGACCTCTTATAAGTACTCTACATTGAGTTTTGTGCAGCTTTTTATCGTACGAGTCCAATCATATATCCGTTCTCGGACCCTATCGGATCTTTGCAGGGAATGGAAAAGCACAAACTTTTAAGAGAAGACACTCTTCCCGCAATGGCGTCGAATAGAAAAGTCCAGCGATTACTTAACGAGTTCATGGATCTTCTCTCGGAATACGCTAGTGTCGAGAACAATGTGAGCCAAGTAAACCCTTCTCCACCAACTACATCTCGACCGGAGATTGATCTTATGGACTCCAACCCATCCGTACCCGGTCAAACAGATACACCCGCGCCAGCAACAGATAACAAGGAGAATCCTTCCCCTGGTATTAACCAAATGGATGGTATTCCATCAACATCGAATCAAGTAAACTCGGGCACCGAATCGATTGATCAAGTAAATCGAGCTCCGATAAGTGAAGATGCTGCCGGTTCATGAAGCTGAAATCTTCATTCAAGCAATACTAACTAATGGCTGCTCAGCTTAGAATAGGGTACTGTACTGATCTAATATATATCCTTTTTGCTCGATGCTTGAAACTGGACCGTCCGATGTATATTTTGTTTTTACTTTTCAATCTTCTCTGTGCATTTAACCGTATACTTTCACTAATTTAGTTGAGAGTTGTTTTTGGATAGAAATCATTGATCTTTTGTACAATTGGCTTTGATATTAATGCTATTCTGTCTTTCAAGTGTTTCTAATCATTTCGTTTGGACGACTTCCGATTTTTCTAATTTACACACTGGATTTTCGAGTTACTTGGGTTTAGGTTTTGACCATTATGAGTATACCATCGTCGATCAC